CTGCTGGATGTGCTTTAGGTGTTAAGGCTAAAGGCAAAGTTTGGGTAGCTCATTAAAAAGAATGAAAACAAGAAACATATGGTCAGACGAAAAAGGTCAAATCCTCCTCTGGGGGGGTTTCTCCCTCCGTAGCACAGGAAGCCTGAAGAATCTTGGATCCTAACTCAGGCACCTCAGCAAGATGAGATGGACTGTGATTCCTCTAGGGCAGGTCTTCTATCCTGGCATCTCCATGTCTTCCGCTTGTAATCCAGCCAGGTGACTCAAGCAGAGGCCTGAGGACAAAGGGAGGAACATTCCACGGCCTCATGAAACAGGTTAGCTCTCCAGAGGAACAAACAGCAAATCTGTCAGGACTCAGATCAGTTTTAGTCTTGGTATGTGAACAGACAGAGCATTCAGGGAAGGGCAGCTTTTTACCAAAGCACAAAATCCTTCCAAGGCAAAGGCAAAGGCTCAGAGCTAGTTGGTTACGACAGTGGACTTCCCTCTGGAAGAGTCATTATGAACAGTGTTAAGGCAGCAAATCACAGCTTACAATTTCAAAAGAAACAACTCATTCAAGGAAAAAAAAAAAGCCTTTCCGTAAGTATGCACACATGGTTGCACACGTTATCAGCAAGACCAGAGAGGCTGTGTCCAAATAGCCATTGTTCCTCCTGTGGCTTACATCCCAGCTGGCCTCCCCTTCCCTAGTGCTGCTGTTGGGTCACCATCCTGACCATTTTCAGTGCCATCTCTCCTTGATCAGACGGTACCTAGCACAGAGATGAGAGCACATGGTAAGCAGCTGCTGTAAGGAAGCAGACAGCAAGCATATATGCATCTTCAGTTTTCTTGCTGGTAATGGTGCATCCCACCCCAAGAAATATATTATTTACCATGTGCCCAGCCTTAAGAATCCAGAAGAAAGCAAAGTTCTCATAGGCCTTGTGGAAAGCAGCTGTCTCAGTGGATTCTGGAGTCACATAGAGTGCCTTCCACCTTTGCCGGTTGAACTGGTCCAAATTAGGCCATTTCAGTTTCCGGATCCACGCCTCCTGGCCTGTTAGAGGTAAGAGATATGCTTGATTACCAATACTGACATAGCAACTTGGGAGTCCCAGTTCAGCTGGGTGCCCACTGTACTAGATACCAATACAGCAGAGTCAGCGGAAAGTCTCTGTGTGCTCAAATTCTAAAAAAGATTTTGCTCTGCCTAGGAAAATGATCAAGACTGTGTTCAGGACAAGCTGAACAAACCAATGGAGGGAGAAGGGAAAAAGCGAACAGTGAAGATGTATGTGAAATGGACTTATGATGGTACAACTTGAGCATGTGCCTCTTAGAGGCTCTGCAGCCCTAGCAATTCTGACATTTTGCTTTACTCCTCAAACATCCTGAGTGTCCTGCCATGGAGAAGGATCAGTCACACTAAGTGCCCCTCGTGGAAATCAGAAGAGATAGTGCTTCTCTACTTGTTACAGCAACTCATCAAGAAGAACCTGGAAAGTTTTTCTGTTTTCAGGTACCTGTTAGAGGAGGTGGAGGTCAAGACAGCAGGAAGACCAACTCCAGGACACCAAGGGGGACAAAGCTTTAGTCTACCTCTCAACTAATGGAAGAATTTACATGTTAACTGCAGCTCAATTTTAGCTTAAAATGTGATAAATTGGAGAACCACTAACTGCTAATCTGTTTTGACAGCCTAAATACTCTATTTCCTGATCTATTGATTGCCGTGTTGTTCATGAAGGGCATCTGAATATCTAAGTGGGCAGACACAGACCAAGGATAAAGCCTTTCACAACATAGGAAGATGTTTGCACAGTCTGTGACTGCAGATTATTTAAAACAATAAGAAAAGGTGAATGGAAGAGAGCACGGCAGTCTCACAGCACAAGGCATTCCAGCAACACTTGGCCTGGCCCCCAAACTCCCACTTGATCAAGCCAGCATCTTGCAAGCAGCAAGGGACAAACAAAGCCCTTGAGCGGCCAAGACGTGCAGGAGCCTACACGTTACTGAGCAGCAGGCATGATCACTCTTCAGCTGCACCCTCCCTGATTAATTACCAGCACCCTTGTTTCATCTCCCCTGGCACAATGCTCTCTGCTGCACGCCACTCGGTGAAGGCTGACCTGTATTGTGCACAAATCTGTAGCAAGGTATGATCTTTGCTCCAGAGAACAGAATCTTCAAGGCACAGCAAGAGAAGAGAGGATAATCTCCATATACTTATTCATCTATCCTCATTCCTCACTTATGAATGAGTGTACATACACACACATATATATGTGTCTATCCAGAAGAATTAAGTGAATGATTAGCTACCTAGTTATTTATGGGCTTCACTGAAACAAGCAATTATTGATGTTGCAGATCCATTTCCCAGCAGTATAATGGAGGTAAAGGAATCGACTCCCTCAGAGGGATGTAAACAAAACATACTAAGAGCTGCTCATTTATGACTGCAGTATTTAAGTGCTGCCAGGTAGGAGATTTGCACAGAAGACTGGAGAGATCCAGGTACCAGTATTATTGGCAAGTTCACGTTCTACTCGTCACGTGTTCTGTTCCCTAACCCCAGTCAAGAAGCCCCTTACCCATGGTGTCAACAATGAGATCCAGCTGCCCATTATAGACCACAACATTGACATTGGCTGCCAAAAGTTCATCAACAATATCAATGACAGGTTTCATGAAGTCCTCAGCCATGTTCTCAAAGACATCTCTGGACTGACCTGGTTGGAAGCAGAAAGAAGACAAATTTTAACCAATGAAGAAGGTCATCCCCAAGGTTGGACAGAAGCAACTGGCTAAGGGTCCTAAAATGCAGTTCATGGCTGCATAAAAACCAGTCCTGGCCCAAAGCAGCAGCCGCCAGTGATTTATCTGTACGAGAAACCGAAGAGAACCAGAAAGCAGCCACACTCCCACTGGAGCTCACACACAGCACTGTAGCTTCTGGCTCCTATTATACACATACAGCATGTATGGCATCAATCCTTTAAGCATTCCTTTCTGGTTTATGCCCTCCCCTCCACACTATGCAGCATTACATGATACCAGATTTCTGGCAGAGAAGAACTGACAGGAATTTCAGTAAGATTGCATGAAAGATGGAAACCAGCTGCTGAGACACGGAGGATCTTCTTCCTCTTCCTGTATTTTTAGCTGCTTGACTAAAGATAGATACAAGCAGCAGAATCAGAACCAGAACCACATCTGCTCCCAGGGGCTTGCCTCATTTCACATTCATTTCTGAGTATAAGTCCTCTTCTTAGGCCCAAGGATAACGACAACTTAATGTGACTGCTTACTACAGTAAAGGATCTTCCTTCAGACTGCAATACCATGAAAGGCAATAATGCACTCATTAGATCCACACTAGAAGACAGGAAAGTACCTCCCCATTTCACACAGTCAGGAATAATTTTTAGCTTCTTTCTGATGGGTCCATTCATCAATGCATTTAGGCTGTCCTCATGCATATTTTTGACATGGCGCTGGTAAAGTCCCACTGAAAGAGAACACGCTTTGATTAGTGGCACATTTAAGACAGCCATCCTACATAGATAACAATTTTCAGCGTTACAGTCATGGCCAACAAACTCTTTTCTAATGAAAACGCAACACCACAGAGAGAGATTTGCTTACTTTTACTAGAAATCACTGAAGTCAACCCTTATTTAGATCAGGGGATTATACGGGAAGAACCCAACCATCCATTTCTACTTTTGGCCAACACAGCACTTTTTTAGGGGACCAGGTTCTGCTTTATCCACTTGGTACAGACACGATTTCTTCTCCTCAACAGACCACCAGTTATTTTTGAGCTGCAGCACTTTACTTTTGGGAGTTAACTATGCCGTTCACCTTCCCTGCTGAAGCCAATAGAAAGAGATAAAGAGCTTGAAAGAAACTCTATACATGTGTTTTTCACATTGATGCATAAACATAATGGAGCAAAAGAGTCTAATCAGACTATTTGCATTGATGAGACATTTTTGTGTCCTAGCTTGAAGACAGAAATGAAAGACATTAAGAGGAAGTAACTTAAAGGTCATAAAACTATGTCGCAATTGCACTGATTACTTCCTTGGAATAATTTATGCAGGATGTATAGGTGGATGTGTAATCTATAGAAGGGTTGTTCCACATTCCAATTTATCCCTATTTATGCAAGAGCAAACAGGTTCTGCTCAGGAGAGTATCAATATCCTTTGGATCTGAAGGCCCCATTTTAACGATGTGCTAAATTGAGGCTGTTCCCACTGTCAGAGTTGAAGGTACACAAATGCAAACAGGGCCTCATAAGCTCAAGTACTTAAATACAACTTACTGAGATGGAGATTCTCTTGTTCAGTTGATTTCATGTCTGGAACCTCCTTAGTCAGGATGTTATAAAAGTTCACATTGTCTGTGTTCTGAAAACACAAGATAATTTCGGTAACGCTGTAACAAAAACATTTCTTAGGTATGAGGAACAGGCTCTCTTCTGAAAAAAGAGGTCAGTCCTAAATAAAGAACCCTATGGCCTACCACTTTACCCATGGGTCAGGAAGATACAGAAAAACTTTGGTTCAACATTTGCTTTGAGAAATGGGGAAGACTTTTCTCAAGTCTGTGTTGTTCACACATGGGTTGTGCCAGAGATGCTATTTACTTCTCTGAAATGGACATGAAGGTACAGGAAGCCTTACACCCTGCAAATGACTCTCATTAGAGAGCTGCAACGCCAAATGATGCTTTCAGGTGGTCTCTTCTGCTAGATCTAGTCTAGCCTGATGCTGCCTCTTGCTCAACATCCTCCCAACCCTTCAAAATCTCAAATACTTCCTCCAGAACATGGTGTTAGGTATCAGCCACCCCTCTTTTGGAACTGCTAACATCTGGACAAGTCCAGAATTGTAGAATGGCAGCTCTGATGGAGACAGCAGACTGTCTGCATCCAAAGGGTAAGTCTGCTCAGTGTTGCCATTAGAGAAGTTACTTGAGATTCTTGAAGCCCTGCTTTATTCAATTTTTCATTCTTTAAAGTTCTGATGCAAAGATCAGAAATCAGCTCACAAGAGCAACCCTAAAAGATCTGAAGTGCCTGCACCCTGACAGAGATATCACAACTGGGAGGAGAAGACAAGCAGACTTGAGAAACACAAAATGGGAACCACAAGTTCCTTCCAAACTGCAAGAAGTGAAACCAACTATGTGCAAGGCACTGTCAGTTATAAAACAAAATGAAACAAAAACAGAGCCAGAAAAGGAAGCAGCTCCAGATTAGTCTTTCCATTTGAGGAAGTCAGAGCCTTATTGTGCTAAAACAAAAACACAAGAAAGAGTGAGATTTTGGAGCAACACTTCAACAGGAAAAACAAGAGCAAAACTTCACCTATCTTTTAAGCTGGAATTTGCTAAGTAACAAGATGCAGGAATCCACAGTAGCAGGACATAACTATTGTACAATACTATAGTACCTATTGTACTTCTTTAAATGGAGATCTATGCTTAACTTGAAATTTGTGTCTTGCTGGATGCAGTTTTCAATATGCAAAACAAAGCTTTCAAGGACACACAACTCATTTAAGCTAAAACTGGGTTCTAGAGAAATCAACAGGACTAGTTGCATGCTAAAAATTAAGCATCTATTTAAGTCATGTGCCAGGCTGAAACCTTGATGCAATACTACAAGCCCATGCGGGTCACCCTACCCACTGCTTCTTACAGTCACACAGTGGTACACAGCAAACAAACAGCTCTTTTACATCAGTACTGGGATAAAACATATACTGGCAAAAATGACTGGGCAGGGTGTTGGATGGAGGATTCATGCCAACCCAGCGCTCACAAAAAGGATAGCCTGAAATTGTGTGCCTCCCCAAGCACCAGTGAGTTATTTATACTGGTCAAAGAAGATCTTACCTCTTCAATGACATCTTCAGCCTTGCCCCAGAGCTCAGTGGCCAGCCCATATTCATTTTTATTTATTGCATCCATTATTTGTTTGGCAACAGCAGTCACCTCTGCTAGACCGTTATCATCAAGGAGAGACTGGAAGACAAACACAAAGGAGGACAGCTTTAATTATAAGTTCACATTCATTCTCACTAACAGTCTCCATGCATTCGAGGTTTTATTCTGGCTAAGAGCTAACCTTAAAAAACAACATCCATTTATACTGTGTGGCAATACAAGTACTCAGGTGAGGACCAAGAGATTAGGAAGGTACTTACAGTGCTGTAAAGGTAGGGGCCCCAAGACAGCACAGAGTCTAAAGAAACAGAACAGATTTCAAACATCTAAGTTTTTGACATACAATTTCCTTTACTTTTTCTTTATTGTAGCAAGAGTGATTGTGACAAAAATATATGGAAATTAATTAATCGGTAAAAAGATACCATCAGCTCAGTTTAGCACAAAGGTTATGTGCCACAGAGTAGGTTCTTTACAAATCCTGAGAACCAATAAAAGCACCACAACATCATTAACCCCCTAAACATTAATTGGTGAAATTTATTTAAAGCAACAGACATGTTCTTATCAAAATGTTCTCACCCCAGCACTGCAGCACATTGCTAGAATATGGGAAGAGTGAATGGGCATTGTCTAAACTGATCTGTTTGCAAAAATTACAGGGGGGGAAAAGATCTCGTTATAAACCAAATCGATTTTATAACAAGTTTGTTTTAACATTTCAAGGATCAGCTGATCCTAAGACAGATGGGAGTTTGCTTGATATTGTCCCATGCTGCAGAGCATGGAGCCTGACCTCGCAAATCTAACTGAAGGACCAAGAGTCCTTTAATTTGCTTTTTGTCCTCCACCAGACACACACCCTATCTCTTCCAGGTCTGTGAGCACATCCATTCCCCAGCACAACATCTTCTTGTGAAAAGAAAGAGAAAACCTCAGTTGCAATGTTATGAATCATTTGGTGGCCATATTTTAAGTGCAGTACTCTTACCAAAAGACCTTGGAGGCTGTAGAGATGTATAGGGACATTTCAGCACCACCCCACTTCAAATGCAAGTACGCTCCTCACCAACTTTACTCTCTGACTTTTCATAATCTAGATATGTTCTAAAGGTAGATACTTTAGTCACAGCTTGCAATGCTGAAGTATTTATTTTTGATTTACGAGACTCATCAGAGATTTAATTCACTTAAGGCAGGGGTGGCATTTTTGACTCTAGGTACCCATGGAATGGTAAAAAAAACCCAAAACAAAACAAAAAACCAAACCACCCACAGTCTGAGGATTTTATACATACCCAAAGGAGAAATCCATGAGTCTCCAAGAGCAGTCCCCATAAAATTGCACTTTATGGTCCCTTTTTGAACAGCCTTGGTGAATAAGAGGAAAACCAAAACCACACAAACCACCACCAAAAAAAAAAAAAAAAAAAAAAAAAAAAAAAAAAAAAAAAATTTTTTTTTA